CTGGACCTCAACCGCAAGGATCCGATCGCAGTGTGCACCGCTGGACCTCAACCAGATAGTTTGCCCGATAAAATCCACAAACACACAACAAACACACAATCACAAACACACGACCACAAACGCGCAACCACAAACACACAACCACAAACACAACCACAAACACAATCACAAACACACAACTACAAACACAACTACAAAGACACAATCACAAACACATAACCACAAACACAAAACCACAAACACACAACCACAACCACACAACCACAAACACACAACCACAACCACACAACCACAAACGCACAACCACAAACACAACCACAAACCCACAATCACAAACACAATCACAAACACACAGCTACAAACACAACTACCAAGACACAATCACAAACACATAACCACACACACAAAACCACAAACACACAACCACAACCACACAACCACAAACACACAACCACAAACACACAACCACAAACACACAATCACAAACACAACCACAAACACACCCACCACACACCACAACCACAAGTACAAACACACAATCACAAAGACACAACCACAACCACAACTACAAACACATAATCACAAAGACACAACCACAACCACAACTACAAACACATAATCACAACCACTACCACTACCACAAACACAACCACAAACACATCCACAAACACACAACTACAAACACACAATCACAAAGACACAACCACAACCACAACTACAAACACACAAGCACAAAGACACAACCGCAACCACAACCACAACTACAAACACACAGTCACAACCACTACCACAACCACAAACACACAACCACAAACACAACCACAACCACAACACAGCACACAACCACAGCACACAACCCGAGGACCCACAAGCAACATCGAGAACTACAATACTAACGACTATGGCAACATGCTCCTCACTATGGCATCAAGACAAATGATTGAAATGTCATGGTGGGGATCACTCGAAGTAAAGTAATTGTGTTTTTTCAGGACTGGCCGCCTACGGATCTTTCCCCACTCCGTTCCGGATCATCGAGTTTCTGCATGGGAGCAGGAAAACAAAGAGCGACAAGGATGGTCAAATAAACAAGTCACTTTTGAGTTTCCTCTAGACTCGCCCGTGGTGTTCCTTTGGATTCTTCGGACTTCATGAGTCATCCACGGCCGAAGTCCAATCAGCTCAGGTTACGGCCTCCCCAGCCGTCTGACTTCGCAGCACCGAGTGCCGGAGCGAGCCGAGCCGACGGGCCCAGGTGCCGTGGAACTGCAGTTGCACCGCCATGAGGATCAAGTTCACCTCGGCGCGTCGGCGCCGCGGTCCCGAGGGATCGGGGCCGCGAGACGGTCCGCCTTCGGAAAGCGGAACAAAAAGAAACAGGGATATACAACATGGTACAACTACAAAGAAGTCACATAAATGATATGTATATGATTTATAGCCTATATTGAGCCATACTGGACCGCAGCTTGGAAAGGAGGATATTGGGCATCATGGGAGTGCATCGTGTTTGTAGGAGCTATGTATCTACTTCTCTATCGATATAATATACCTGTTACCTATCTATTTGGGGTGTGGAGCGGTGTTTCTTGGGCCCCACATGGAATCATGCCAGCAAAGGGAGCCGATGATTGAGGGTGGGGGTGTGACAAATGCTTCCAAAGCGGTTAGTGCGCAATGGAGCCTGAACGATATGTGAAAATGAAACAGCAACAACAACCACAACCACAACCACAACAACCACAACAACCACAACGACAACAACAACAACAACAACCAACCTTGTCCCAGCTCCAATGTCAAAGACGGGTTAGCCCCTACAAGCCCGCACTCAAAGAAAAGCCAATCCTGTGTTCACGCAGATGTATTAGAGCTCAGGTGTTGTGCAACATGTTCACTGGAATGCTTTCATTGAAAAGCATGGCTCTGTACCCCTTGTCACTCCAGGATGAGAAACGTGATGTGTCCTAATAAACAATCCACATACAAAAAAAACAGAAACCTACCCAAACCAAGTGTGATATGAATGCATGATATCCCCGAGGCACTCCCCGATCCACCTTGATATTCGCCGCATGACAATCACCCATGGAATCCCCATGGCCACCGTTCTCTCTCTCTCTCTCTCTCTTTTCGCTCCAGGCGGCCACCAGAAGCAAGCAAACAGAAAACTCAAACCTGGCGCCGAAAGGGGCACCAAGGGGCACTCTGACAAACGTGCCGCACCGGTGTGGTGTGTGTAGATAGACTCATACATGTGTGTGCATAACTGACTGATGTGTGCATGCTGAATATTATTGCTACTGTGCATATACACTTGTATATAAATCAAAACATCAAGCACAAGCATGGCTTCGTCTCCGCCGTTCTTAGCACAACCAATCCATGTGCAATACAAACCGTGCTGTCCAAACATCCACGCTCCGTGACCGCGCCTGGGTCCCATGAAGAGATGTCTCGTGCGCTCCAGCCATTTGGGGTCGTTCGGCAAGAGATCCTCGGCGGTGACGGTCTAAGATAGAGGCCAAAGAGAAAGAGTCCACCAAATCCTGGATCCTGGATTCAAATGGAAAGATAGATTCCCAACTTCACCAAAATTGAGCTTCACAATCCTGGAGCCGACATTTGGTAGATCACCTGTGAGCGTTGAAGGGTGGGTATGGGTAAGTATAGTTCTCCACCGATTTCATCCGCATTCACAAATTCCTCAGGGGGTAGCGGATGCCTGGGCTAGGGTTGCCTTTCTCCATTGTGCAAAAACGACAGCATCGGCCCTTGATGGACCAACAGCACGCCAGCTTCATCCAAAACAACAAGCGTCCCCAGACACATCCTCGTCGTCGATGGATTCTGGCATGAAGAATCGCGGGTGGGAAGATGTCCCGAGCTGAGGTTTGCAAAAAATAAGTTTCGATCTGATATAGGTTGATCACATGTGCCAACCATACCATATCTATCACCACTCTTCTACTTCTTACCGAGTTACAAGCAGGTTCCATCACTATTCGTCATTCGTCGCACTAGGCCTGATATAGGGTGTATTCAACCCAAAAATGTTCTATAGACTCTTGCACCTGTAAGTGGTGGTGAATGATCGGCTGCCGCCCACCACTGCGCCATGATTATTGAACTAGCTAGGGGACCTGGCATGAAATTCAATTGATCAAGGCTTCTAGGGGAGGTGATCCTAGAATGGGCACGGTCCACATGTTTCCAACATGAATCCAACTGCCGCATGGAGATCAAATTGCATGACCCCACCGTTCTCCGTTGCTGCCCGAATGAATTCATACATTAGGCCGGAAAAGCTATGTCATAGCATCAAAACTAGGACCACAGCAATGTATGCAAATCCCAAGCAGGGTAACCGATGCGGGGGGTGGTCAAAAGACACTCCGACTCCATCCCTTGAATTTGGTGATGATTTTTCAAGAAACACTCCACCATCCCAAAATTGGTGGTGAAATGAACCGAAAGAAGAGAGGGGAGCGCTGTGAGCGTGTGTGTATTTCAGTTAAAACCTAGCCATTTTTAGACAACAGCAAGGAAATGAACCAAACAAATACTGTACACAAAAGACGACCGAAATGAACACTCGACGTCCATCCCCAAAAGCCTAGGATGGACGACACCAGCGACTGAGCTGAAGCGGATCCATCCCTGTGAGCCGGATCCATTGGTGACGTGGGGAACGGTGGTGGATATCTACAAAGAACCTCAGAAGCCTTGAGGTACTACAAAGGTGTGGCTATATGAGGTGGCTATCTGAGGTATTCTTTGTAGAACCTCAAGAGTCTTCAAAGGTCTTCTTGAGGTCCAACATTCAATCTTTGAATACCTTTCTGTGAGCCCACCGGTTCCCCGGCGCAGCTTTTTTTGTGTGCAGCAAATGGGCACGGCGGGGGCACTCTGGGCTACTTGATGTGTGAGACAAGTTCTGCAGTGATGGCTGTTCAAATGCTATGAATTTTGAGGTTTGCTGTAAGTTTTCAGGACAAGGGACCAAGTGGGTGCCTTGCAGCTAGCATGTCGGCCTAGTAAAGTCGGTTCCTTCTCTGATCTCAGGTGGCCGACACTAGCTTAGATGGGTACCTTCCTTTACCGAGAAGGCTATCGAGAATCTGTGGGTCAGCCGGATCAGATCTGACCATTCCATTCCGCAGAAAAGCACATGTTACGTCTCCAAGGGGGGAGGAATACGAAAAACACCTTGGAGAAAATACATTCACCTTCCTATTCATCTCCAAGCGCTGGTGCATCATTTTCTCCAATCGAAGGAAAAGAAAAAACACCTTTACCCAAACGCGACCCATGGGACTGCCATAGGACTGCCGATCAATTGGGGTGGTGGTTTGCGGGGTCTGCCTGGGGCGGCAGTCCTATTCCAGTCCCATGGGTCGTGTCGGTTAGAGACGTGATGAATACGACTTCGCACCCAGTGGATCCGTGTCGAAGAAGTCAACGATCTCTTGGCGAGTTGGGAGCCGAAATCGCCAACACGATGTCCCAGCCATAAAAGGCAGAAAGCAGTGTGCTTGTATTTAATGATCTGTTTCGAACCGTTTGGGCGTGCCAATCCATGGAACCAATGCAAGGAGCAGGTTAGAGATCCATTAAGGACTTGAACATTAGCCTTCCTTGCCCAGCTGATGCAGGACACAGATCTTTACAGTATATAAGAGACATTGGCCGATCTGTCAAACCCCTGACCCCTGCCCAACCAAACGCCCCTGCTATCAGCGGATTTACAAAGACCACTCTTTTTTCAGGCGGGGAGCTCGAGAACGAACACCCTCTTCCACTCACGAAGTGGGACGTGCGGCACGAGTGTGTCTATGTGAAAATTGTGCAGCTATTCTTTGCATGGATTTGAACATTCAAGAAAGCGCCCAAAACACACAAAACAATATGACTCCCTCTCTCCCCATCAAAACCCCAAATGCCTATGGCCTTTTTCTGTCTTGTTGACCGTCTTGGAGTGTGTGTGTGTGTGTGCGTGTGTGTGTGTGTGTGTGTAACCCTTGGAGTCATAGGGATCCTTCTGGATTTGTTTAGTATTATTGCAGGGGGCTCGTGGACGCATGGATGGCACGAGCCAACGAAGACCCATCCATGTCGTCGTGATACCAGACCTGATCAGTCTGGCGTACCTGCGATTTTCCTTCCTTTCTGAATGGCATGAGGCTAAGCCAAGAACCTCGAAGATTCGGTGTTTTCTTTGAACTGCAGATGCGAGCGGAACGTCGTCAGCCTGTTCGTCCGTCGTTCGTTTTCTTCCTCTTTGGGCCATTTCTCCGTTTGAAGACCCCCAGGATTCGCTGGTCCCCTACCGATACTCTTAGGAATTGGAAACCTAGGCCGGCGTGTGAGTACGCATATCCATGAGTGTGTGCCTCTTCAACTCCCCATCCGTTGGCCTCTTCAACTTGGCAACGGCGGGTTTGGCAGCTTCGCCGTCCGCGTCACCTCAACCGCTGTCGCGTTTCATTGGGCAGCCTTGGGGGTGGGTCGTGACAGTAGCCGTGTAGATTGATACAAAAACAAATTGCAGGGGTGTAGGACTAGTAGTCCTACACATGCAATGTGAATCAAAGTGAGTCAGACCTGATTCAAGTTGAATTCAAGAGAGTGTTCTGCCCACCCACGTGGATTATCAAGCGAAGCATTCTTGATGATGTGCTTGCGGACCTTGTTTTGACCTTGGGTTGTCTGTCCAACATGTCCAATTCTTTAGTCCGTTGAGAACCTTGAGAGTGTAGACTGTAGACATTGGTGTAAACAAATGTCAAGACACGCCAATGGCTGAGACATGTTGAGACAGTGCCGCACATGTCCAGATGTCTGGGTGACCTCAACTTAACACCCCCTTAACTTGACACCACTGGTCATCGCACTCCCAGGCACTGGTCACGCTGGGCTCGTCTAACCTTGGGCATGGACCAGGGAGTCCGGTGTGGACGGTTCGGTTCTTTTTGTTTCGTTTCGTGAAATGGACAGTGAGATGGAGTGGAGTCCTTTCTTCCAACAGCAAGGCGGGGTTTTGAGGGGAGATCCATGTCGCTGCTTCACCCTTGTCGGGTGCTTCTTTCCTTGTTGTTTCACATGCCCTCCTTGTCAACATGAGGACCTTCCTTGTTGTTTCCATGTGGTTTTCCGCTTTCACCTGCCCTGCCCTTCAAGTCCGCGGAGTTTGGACGAGCACTGAAGCACACGGGCTCGCGTCCGGCGACAACGCAGCCGTCCCACAGGGACACGCTCAGGAAGGACGATACTGTGCTTGGCCCTTGTCAGGAAGGGGTTAGGTTTAGATAGACAATGAACGATTTTAGTAGTGAAAGTTAAAGGAACCCTCGAGGGCTGGAGTACTCAATTCTCACCATAAGGATTCCTTCACGATTGGTGTGTGTGTGTGTGTGTCTCTCACCAGGTGGTTGACATTCTCATGGTGATGCTCGTGCGCAAGATTTGACTTCACGACAGCCGTCGCACCCCGTTCTTTTCTGTGCTGCGCCCTGCCCAACTGCAGGCCGGTACCCAAAACATTGTAAAGCTAAACCATGTTCAGAACCTTTCAGACCAGCATGCTGCGGATCGTGGAAGCACTACAACCTTGTCTGGCAGGCATAGCTCAAGGTTCCGTAAGAATTTCCATAAATAGAACATGATAGAACATGATAGAACCCATAGCTCAAGCTTTCGGATCACCTCAGGTACTGCGCCAGCTGTATCTCACCTCATCCGCCCCGCTCTGCTGCCCGCCACGCCACTGCAAGGCTTCAGGCACCGGTGACGGGGGCACCTCCAAGTGGGAGACCTCCGGGCCCAGCCCTTCGGTCTGAGGCCGAGAGTCCTTGGTGACGCCGGAACAGGTCCCATGTGACGTGGACTTGGATGGCCTGGGTGACGTGGGTGGGAGACCAGTGACCCGGGCGAGGTGGAGTGCTGATGGTGGCATATATTACGTATATAGTGATTTGCTACCGCCCATGTGACAAAGCAAATGCCAAATCACCTCGGAATCCCCTAGCAGCAGTGTCCACTGAAATGAATTCAGCAAGTATTCCAGCGGATCACCTTTGGTGGCCCTTGACCCCTTTCAATCGGTGCGGGTGAAGGGTGTCGCTCACTAGAAGGGCCCCTGGTGGATACTAGGGTATAAAGTGGCTACCCCCTTCTAGCATACGGATTGCCCACATCCTGATCTCGCTTCTGTGACTACCTTGCGGAAGGACCTTAAAGAGGACTCAATATTGCTGGTGATTCTGTCTCTTCCGCCGGACCACCCTTCCAGAAGTGCCCACTGACCTTGCCTGTGGCTGCGGGAGTTAGGTACTTGGTTTCTAACCCTTTTCCGGGCGACCTGGTAATGGTACAGGCTTTTCATTTTCACACAGTTCAACCTTGATCAGGACTGCCTCCGGCTTCCTCCTTGCTACCATTTTGGGGCTTCATCAAGAGAAGGCGTCTGGTATGTGATTTCCAAAAAAGAAAACCTCTCTCGGGCTGAAGAAAGCCATGTCTCTGCATGCGGTTGGATGGCTTTCACCGGGGAGGCACACCGTGGCCCAAAATAGCCTGACACGAGCGGAGCAGAGCGGAGCAGAGCGGAGCAGGTGGACACCACAGGTGGAGAGTGTACTACAACATGCTACAACTGTCAACCTCCTAGGGGAGTGGAGGTGGTGCTTGAGCAAAGTTCTGCTCAAACACAAGACCTGCTGACGGGTGAACCAAATCTCAAACAAACCTACCCTGAAAAAAGCTTCTTAAACACGTAGGCATCTGTCAAGGGAATCTGACACTCTTTGGTCTGACAGATTGTTTTTCGTCCTCTGTTTCAATCAAGATGGATCCCTACAGTCGATTGAGAGTACTGAGTAGCTCATCAAATGTCCCAAGACCCTTCCCCAGCCATAGAAAGCCATGTCAGCTCACACATGGAGCAAAAACCCTGCAGCAAATTACCACAAATTTGGTGACACCTTCAGTTGGTCCTCCATCACCCTTCCCGTCTCATCAGCCCCAACGCGTGCCCCCACGAGCCACGCCACGCCGAAAGAAACGCCGATCCGGAGCCGGGCCGAGCCCGTCCGTCGGAGCCAGGGCGCTTTCTCCCAAGCGCTTTTGAAGTTCTAAGACCTGGACCTGAAGTTGGCCGACCTGAAGAGCTGGCTCGACCGGAGGGGTCCAACCGGACCAGATGCAGCTGCAGTGTGGAAAGGACAGGGGTCGTTGTTCTTATTTTTTTGGGGGGAGGGTAGCAGTGGATAGTTGTTGGCAGGTAACCTCTATGACTCAGTCTATGACTCAGTCTGTCATAGGATATGATCCGCCAGAAAGAACCATGAATTCCTTGGGACAAATGCCAAGAGAAGGAACAAACATCAAAGTGGAGCCAGCAACAAACAACAACTGAAACCGCATGCCCAGAAAAATGAACTATAATTAAGAGAATTGAAATTGGTCAAATCCTAGATATGATTTCCTTGATGTTTCTTTGCTAAGCACTCTTTTGTTTGATTCATTTATTTGTCTTTCAAAGGACTTGTTCATATTTGTTTGATTCAGTCTTTCCTGAGTTTTTTGGTATGACTGCCTTTGCGGCGTGCAAATCCACTAGAATGGTCCAGTTTGGGAGGCCAAAAGAGAGGCCGTTGTGTGACATGAATCGGAGTGGATTGGTTGCTGGGTTGAACGCTCGTGCTGGTTGCCACAGCCGGGTTTGGACCCTAAGAACTGGTGTTCAGGGCAAACCTTGGCTACCCCAAGAGTGACCGTCTGATGAACAGCTGAGACCAATCTGTAGAATCTTCCCTGGGCTCCCAATCTGACTGCGATTATTCAAATTAGCCTCACCCAGCATTCGATCCCCTCAATACCCTCACGACATCAAGCATGGGCCAGCAATTTAATAGGGCCTTTAGTTCTCACAAAATCCCCAACAGCGCATGTGCATGGAGTGCGACTATCGGAAGCTGGCATCACGGCTACACAAACCTCCGTTCAGGAAGGGATATGAAGGGATCCCCAAAACGGACAGCAAACAAGCTTCATTGATCCAAACACATGCCCATGGTCACCATGGTCCATACATTCTCATCTCTACGCACGATCAAAAAAATACATCACTTCTCAGGTGGATGAAACATGATGAAACATTATAAGCTTACAAGCTACTAGTAACAAGAAGCTACTAGGGGCTCCTGGCCTTCCTACTAGGAGCAAGGACGCTACTAGGGGTTCCTGGCATCGCTACTAGGAGCATTCTTACTACTAGTAACAAGAAGCTTGATAGATTCTTCTGATAGATGAAACATGATGAAACCCACACCGCTGGTCAAGGGCTTGAAGTTGATCCTCATAGACAATGGTTCGGGAAGCCAAGCTGGAAAACAGACCCAACACCGGAGATCTATCTCCGAATTCTTCAAAGAAATCCTCAAACATGTGGCATCATATGGCCATGTTTCTCTCAGCACCTGCCCAACGTTCTACCAGAGCGGAGCGAGCTACTGTCCTTCGAAACCACCCGAAACTCTCTGCGCCTCTGCCAAATGCAGCTGTTCCAACTCCTCGGCGCTCGTCCACTAAGTCCAAACCGGAGTCCGCCATCGGTGGAGTCCGCTGAGTGCGTCGACTCGCCGAAGTCGTTTGAATCCATGAGAGTGAAGAACAGACATGGCTGAACTTCTAGATTCAGCGAGCTCTATTTCCCACACAAAGTTGTTGACAAAAATGCTGAGTTGAGATATAGTTACTGCATACATCTGTATACTGTATATGATACTTCCAACTCATCCGGTCGCAGTTTCTATGGCATACCTCCCCTCAGACAATCATGGAAGCAGGCCGCAGGCTCCACTGAGAAGCAGGAACATCTTTATATTCGTCTTCCAGGGGGCCTTCACTTCCACTTCCACCACTCCGTTTGAGTGTCGTTTCTTCATCTGTTTCTTCGGTCTCCAACACGTGTCTCCACCACTCCGGTGGAAGTCTCGGTTTTCACGTCGCCAGGCGAGTGCAGGCGTTTCATTTCAAGAGATGCAATACATGGCAGGTGGACGTAGCGACTGAGAAACAAAACATATAGGTATAATTGTAGCTATATCTTCTGGTTCCACTATTTCTTGGCGGCAGTGGAATCAGGTGGACGATGGAAGTCATAAATGTCTTGGCATCTTTCGGAGCGAAGGCGGTCAGAAAAGCCCCACGATGTGAGGGACAAGTTAGCTCGGCTATCGACACATCAACTTCCAGTCATCCATGAGAATCCAACGAAGAAACAAACAAATCCCCTGGCTCCATGCCAATGCACAAAAAGAAACACATGGAAAAGAGGATGTGGTAAACAAAACGGTTAAACACAACAATATCCGCAGTGTTCATCTCTGCACGTGTATGGTTTGATTGGTCTTGAGCAGAACGCAGCGCACGCCCAAAAAACACCCTAAGCAGCTTATTTTTGAACCCAGCTTCTCCCAGCATATCTTTGAACCTCTCATAGTATTGCGTTTCCTCCTTCAGAGGATCCATGGGAGGAATCGTCCGGCGACGACTGTTTCACGAAGCAGCAAAAGGCCTTGAGCCTAAGCCTACGGGGTCGGAAGCGCGCCGGATTCAAAGTGCAGAACTTCGTTGGCATTTGGAACATGAGGAGCCTCCTAATCCGCCTATATAGGTTCTACAAGTTGCACATGTATGATCAGAAGCTGCCTTGTTATCTCGTCACTACAGTTGTAGACAAGCTCTTCGGCCGCTTCTTCCACTGGAACATATCCAAAAGAACGTCCTGGCAGCACCGAGCAAAGACTCAACAAACTGACTCGTTGTGGGAGCAATTGAGAGAGGTTATGCAATGAATACTATGTGTCCACTAAGCCTCAACAACCAGAGTTTGCAATGTTTGCAATATATGTCTTAATTTGGCCAGGGTTCATTGAGCTGGTATACATATAGATATACATATAATATATATATATAAGTCCAATGAAGACTGCCACTCTTTTTTGCCAAACTCCACTTCTTTCCTTTCAGGCGCTGTGCCAGTGTTGGACGGCACGAAAAAATTGGTCAAGGACACGGCAAATGCGAAGAGAGGATAGGGGGCCAGCGTGGATCAATCCGCTTGCGATCAGGAGTCCAAATGAAAGAACTCTAGACTGTTGGGGCAGGGAGGGAACATGGAAAACCATATTTTACCCTATGTGAGGGCCACCATTCTTGCACTGCTGGAGAAGAAGAAGAACGGGTGTTCCAAGTGTCAATGACATAGAGCCAGGTGATATCTATATATATATACATATATATATAATATATACTTTATTATGTTATATATATATATTGCGTATATATCCACCCAGGTTCCACCTCCATGGCTACCCCTAAGCATCCTAGCACATGCTTCAAACATCCACGTTGTTCTCCCCTGCTGCCGCGAGCGGCTCGCTCGCTCTTCGCATGTCTCGCCGATCGCTCTCGGTGCATAGAAGGGGATAGAGCCCTGGAACAGCAACGTCCCAAAACGCAGGTCAAGACATCTTCAGCTTATATGGGTGTGCATATTCAACTTAGGGAGACCAAACAAACAATTACATGCCCGTGCCATGTCGGACAGGTACAGTAGGCCTCAAGTAGCTTTGGACGGTTCTTTTGAAAAAGCCTGGGACGAGTCGGGCGGCCCTTCCATGCGGATCAAGCCCCCAGTTTTGGGGGAGTTTCACCACCAACCAGGCCGCGGTCGTTGGGAGACTTTGGATAATCTTTGGATAGTTTCAATTGTCAAGTGTTGGCGTTCCCACCATCCAGGAGCACGCCAGCTTTCAGCGATCAAATGCGTGCAGAAGCTGGGGAAGTTGGGGCATAAGACGCAGTTTTTTCGACGATCTGAGAAAAGCCGAATCAACCGCTTCTGAAGCCTCCGGCGGAAGCCCAGTCGGCAGTGACAGCCAAGCTTAACCCAACAAACATGGGCTCCGAAGGGTGCTCTGAAGACATGGAGGTTGGAACTTTGCTAGCATCTTTCTGGGTCCATCGTGCTCCTACGGCACTCCTAAGTAGTTCTATGACTTGTTGCCTAGCCTTTCTGACCGTCCGAAGAAAACAGGGGAGGATCTGCACCGTCCGTGGACCTCACAGCTGATGTATTCTTCATCCGCAAGGTACTTTGACCTCTGACATGCAATAAACATGCCACCAATCTTCGTTGCATTTCAACCTTTGAAAGGCTCAACATCTCTTCAACCCCCGAACAGTTGTCCGCCAATAGGAGTCCAAGCCGATGTTGAATGAGCAAAAATGATGGTCGGATTTCCACAGTCCTCCATGCCACTCAACAAAGCCAAGCATGCACCCGCAAGCAAAACAGAGACAAAGGAGAGACTTGATGCAACCACTGCACCATGCTTCAAGAGGACAATTGCTATGACATGAGCGAACATGGCAGTGGACTTGTGGCATAGCTTGGGGTTTGCGTCCGCCTATTCAGGGTGACAATCAATTTTATGCTAAATGCTGATGTCAAAATACCCGCTGAAAAGGTTGATGATTGCGTTCCAACTCAATTTGAAGGTGATGCTAGATCTGAAACCCGTCAAACCCTTTCGTAGTTTCAGTTCTTGTGGTCCCACTCTCAGCTTTCCAAAACCACACAACTTCCAAGGATGTTGGATGTCATAAGTTATTGGAGTGGGTTGGGTTGTCTCCTGCTGACACGGCCAACGCAGCCCAGGGCACTTCATGCTACTCCAATGTATTCCTACTTCCATCACCATCCAATCTCATGTGTTGGCTGGTTTTGGGCCTCACCTCTGTCTCCAAGTGTCAACGGACCGGACATGGGCAGGAGAGAGGCGCCGTTCAGGTCACCAGGTCAGGGCGAACCGCCAGGGTTTTCCATGTGTGTGGCCGACAAAGCCCTGGAGCAAATTCATTGCCAATCGAAACATCTAAGCCGGACTGCTGTCTTTGTTGGAAACGGTACACCCGTCCTTTAGCTTGTCAAGCTATAGTTCCTACACCAAATCATGCCAAAGTATAAACTCTGAGCGCAGATCAGTCAATTGAACTGGACCCAGTCCCCACGCACAGTATAGTGTCACTTGGAAATCTGCAAAAGCAACCATTCATCGGCCATCGGGTCCAAACGTCACAGTTAAGTAGAAGAGCATGGGCATGGGCCGTGAAGAAACTGAAGAAACACCACATGTCCGAATCAAAGCCAGTGTCTGATGTGTCTGCTTGCCCGAGCTCAAAGCACCGTCGCCCATCTCTCGCGGTCGATGCCCGGTTCCAGATTCTACGACGCTTTCAAAACGTCTCCCGGAGCTTTGGGGATGAAGCTCTGCCCGGATGAGTTCTCTATTGGCTGTGATGCATGATAGAACATGAGAACAAATCATATCAAGAACGGGTGCGGTGAAGGAAAATATATGAAACAATTGCATCTCTTTCCTTATTTCGGGGGTTTGCGTCAGAAATCGGTGATCCGATCAGCTGCGTTCAGAAGGTATCTCGCGAAAGGCCCCGGTTCCTGCGCTAAGCTCGGGGTAGCCGGGCAGCCGGGTAGCCACCACAGCTGTTCGGAGTTGCACAAAGGATAGAAATAACAGGTTGACATCAGTTGAACCAGCTGGACATCAGAGATTTTACCCGTCAAAAACAAGTATGTGGGCACCTCTGGTGCGTACCCGCAAAGGGTTATGCAGGTACCAAATGAATATCGGGCCACAGGATTTAGCAGGTTATTCCATATCCATGTCATGGGTTCCTGCCTCAAGTATAGCTGTGGGGGAACCGGCCCACAACCTCATGATATATACTCTTCATGCTACAGTCCGATTGCATGCATATATGCACCCACAAATAAATTCCCTAATCCCTGCATGAGGCAGGGTGGATCCTTCGGCAAATAGCCAGCTTAGATGGACAAAGCATGCATTGCACAATTGCTTTCTTGGCACTTTGACCATCTTTGACACATAGATCCTCAAACCAGCAACCTCTCACTTCATTGACTCCACCACTCAAGAATGCAAACTGTCACATGTTAGCTCATTTCCCATCCCCACTGTCCACGCCGGAGACCCACTGTCCACGCAACGGTACCTCTCCGGGCTGCCACACCAAACCGGTCACCTCTCCGACTCCTCGATCTGAGGCACCCTGCTTGGCCCAGAAGGGTGGAGTGGTTTCGGAACATCCCGGCGACGACATGGCGCGGCCCTTCGGCTTGTCGTTCCTGAGAGGCGCGTGGAGCCGCGAAGCGAGCAGGAGACGGAGACAGGAGACGCGCTTCGCTCGCACGCCAGCGAAGCGAAAGCGAAACGGTGGGTCTCAAGGAGGGGAAAGCATCGAAGCTTCGCCGGGGGTGTTTTCTTCAGGCTTCGTTCGAAGGTCTAACGAGACAAGTCATCAGTCGGTCAAAGTACAAAGATCAAATATTGCTATCTACAGTAAATAGATTGCACACCCAGGCATACTATATATACACGTGTCATACATATGTGTATATATATATATAGTTATATATAAATATATACATTTTTTTAAATCTACCTATTACTTATTAGCATATTTATTCTATTGCTACAAATACACCGGCGCACAGTGAGAGCTACCACTTTGGAATGGCAAGTTGTATCCGCCACAGCTGGAAATGCGAATAACAGCAGAGGTAAACGCACATGTATCATGTGCACGCAATTCAATCACAAAAAAGGCTAAACTCAAAGATGAGTTAAATGTGCGCAAGAGGAGCTAAATGGATGATGGTGACCATTTCATGGGAGTCAGCTTATCCGACTTGCCTGAAGATTGTGGCTTCCGGTCTCTCCGCATCCCCCAAAATTTGTCCGATCCCATCTCAACACCCACATCATCAGGAGGCCGAAAATGAGAGAGGCCGCTGTTGTGAATCAGCAAATCCATTTTGGCATTCATCTTCCGCACCTGCCGAAGAGAATAAAAGAAATCCGTTGGTCATCAAACAACTTTTGGCAAAAAGCACGGCTAAATGCACAGTTGGCTCTTGGGTGTTGTCTGCAGCAAACCTGGGAACAGGTCCCCCGCGGAAATAGAAGTGCTGCTGCAGTAAAAACACATATCCCTATGAATCCACATACCTTCTGAGAAGGTGTAGGCTTGGAGGGTCCAATTTCCTTCTGAGAAGGTATGTGGATCCATAGGGTATAACGTGGATGCCCGAAAAGGTCGGACGATCCCTCTGGGCGAAACTCTCAAGCGCTGCCCGCCGAGTTTTGGACCTCAGCGGTGCCCATGTTACACTGCTCCATTGAACCACCCCAGCACACTGCGCCTGTCGTTGGAGTTTGTTGAGATCAAATGCCCTGGCAAAGCCCTTCAACTTCATCACTCCAGCCTCAAACTCTTCCTGGGCCATACAAGGAAGAAACCCTGGTGCTGAATTGGTGGTCCTCCTCGAGATGCTCCACTGAAGGCAATGCACCCAAACCCATGGGCCATTAGGATTCAAGTCCTCAACATACATGGGGGTCCGATAGTCAGGGCAAGCCCGCAAGTAACTCAGGTGCTGTTGCAAGCCGACAAGGTGGTGCAATTGTGCATTGGTAGACTATG